CCACGCAGTCACATGTGACACAAGGCCGAATTTTATGTAGGGTTACAGAGCCGATAGGCTCGGCCAAAAACTCCCCGTAGACCCCGCATAAACGGGATCGGGTCTGTCTACCTCCCCGGACGAGAATGTGTCCTTCATCCGGGTTCCTCTCTTTCCGAAGGCAGAGAGTTCGACTAGCACAGCTGGGAAATATCCCAGCTCGACTCTAGTCATCAGCCATTGTCTGTTCATGCAATAGTCGAGAGCACAGTTTAATAGCTGTCGATAAGAACATGAGAAGGGATAATTTAACACCGCCAACTGAACAACGCCGGTTGCACGCCGGGACAAATCAGGAATGAGACAACACAGCATCAGAAAAACATAACTTTTTTTTTTATAACCGAATAAAAATAATTTCTTCAGGATTAAAATCTTAATTAGTGATTATTTTTTTTTAAATAAGGTATTTGAAAAGGCATTATGTAAATTATAAATTTTTCTTTTTTTGCTTTTAAGTAAATCGTGAATGGATTTATTTTTTTAATAAAGTAAATTGACATATAAAAAATAATTCAATAAAACAGACTTGTTTTTAATTATTTTTTTAATAAAGTAAATCTAAAAATGCAAAACAAAATGAAATAGTTTTTTTTAATTTTGTTTTGAATTATTTTTAATAAAGTAAATCCTAATGCAATTTACTTTTTAATAAAGTAAATCGAAATTCTAAAATATTTTTGTGTCAGTTCTGAGTTCTTTCACTCCTGAATCGTCCCGGCACTCAGTCGGCGGTGTTGAGTCGGCGGTGTTGAGTTCTTCTGCACCCATATGAACATAGCTCGCTAGGTGCAAACAGGAAGGCCACATCGTATCGTATTTATTTATTACCCATAGTGTGAATAGATTTTGAGATCATGGGTATTTTCTTTCGATTTCACCTCAGTCGTGCTTAAAATAAGATAGGAGGAAAAAAAAAACAGATCATGAATTTATCGTCTCAAATAATGTTTGATATTAATTTTGATAATATCATAACGGCAGGGTGAAAATGAAATTATTTTTCGATAGCATCGTTCGAAAGACTTTTATTTTGCCTCAGGCTCAGTACATTTTATCTCAATTTCAAAGCGAAGATATAGATCAACTTAAACACCGCGCAATGTATTAAGACACCCATAATTAATAAGAGGGATTTTACAAGTATCTGTTTGTTGTCTCGGCAACTTTTGATACCAAATCTATCGCTAAAATCATAAACTGTGGCTTTAATTTCAAACGACTGAATCATATATAGACACTACCAGTAGAGCCCGGCGTTGCCCGGGGATGTAACAGTAAGAGATAGATCAAGTATCGACCATCATAAAGACTGAAAAATAAAATTGACAAAGATTATTCTTTAAGGTTGACGGACACGCATGTCTTAATTAGTTGTTTTTTTTTGTTTTTTTTTTACGAATTGGTGAAACCAAAACTCAAACAAAAACATTGTTTTCAATCGTTATGAGTCTACCGATTTAATCGAATTTTATTATAAACTATTCTCTTGTAAATGGAATTTTTAAAGCATTCTGAATGTAAAAATAAAGAAAAAAGTGTGCAAGACAATAAGAAACACTACCTGCCAAAAAAAAGTGAAGTTTTGTTGAAATCGGTTGAAAATGTAGGAAATCCGATCCCATATATAAACGAACGCACACACACACACACACACACACACACACACACACACACACACACACACACACACACACACACACACACACAACCAGCGTTTTATAATAAGTATAACTCGATATGAGTTGTCTCCTTTTCATTCTGGTGATGCCTCTTAATCGTGTTTTCAAATATATTTCCTGCAAAAACAAATGTGTTTTTCCGATATGGGGCGCTGTTAGAACCACCGCAAGGTAATTTTACGTAGTCCTGTGAAGTTTTGTTGAAATCGGTTGAAAAATGTAGGAAATCCGATCCAATATATAAATGTACACACACACACACACACACACACACACACACACACACACACACACACACACACACACACACACAATCTGCGTTTTATAATAAGTAAGATTTACATTTTTTAAATCGTTTCACCCCAGCAAGGCGGGAATGCCACGAGTACCCAGGGGAGGGGGTCAAAGGGAGTGAAACGGAAAGAAAAGACTGTGTAAGGAGGTGGGGATAAAAGATGAACTAGATTCAAGAGAGAAGATGGCGATTGATGCTGCATTTAAATTTTTGAAGATTATTGTTTTGAGGGAAACAAGTAAACGGAAGGAAGTTCTACAGGCGGGAAGCGAGAGAAAAGTAATTGTTGGAATAGAAGTGGTAGTAAAATGTTGGGACCTAGATGCCAATCCATTAGCAGGCTTAAATTTCCGTAGTCGGGACAGCAGGAAAACAGCTCGTCAAAACAATTGCCCTCAAAATATTTGTGGAAAAGGCAGAGGGAAGCCACGGTGAGAAAATATTTGAAGTTAAAATGCCAGAATCGATTTCATCTATATCTATAAAAAGCAGGATGTGTGTGTGTGTGTGTGTGTGTGTAATGAATGCACGGCCGCAATTTTTGACGGATTTGCACCAAAATTTACATGCACATACTCCAAGTTAGCGGGAACGCCAAGACCGACGTTGCATTTCCCAATTGCCATCGATAGTTGAAATAATCGATTTTTTCATGCTTCTACGGCAGTTTTCATGTAGTTTGCGGCCATTTTGTACTGGCCAGAGTGAGAGCCTATACCTGACTGCCATGAACAGATAGGAAGTTTCTATTGGCCAGCGTGAGAACCAACAGCTGACTAACACGAATGTTAACTAGCAAGCTAGCACGCAAAAAAATCGATAGCTGCATTCGTCAAAAGTGGGAAAAAATTTAAATCTGCATGGCACTTTACTCCAATTGGCTCATTCGCTTGCTTAAACTCAACGTTGATTCTGATTCCGCAGAACTGGGTTGGATGTGAAAAAGTATTTGTTGTTAATATTCTTTTTTCATTCGGTTTTTCCAGTTATGAGTCCTTTTTTAAAGTTGATCGTTTTCAGTTCATTTTGTTTAGTTCTTTTTTCGTAACAGATTTAATGTTTAGTATAGAGCTTAGAAAAAATTCGCAGTGTGAAATAGGCAAGAAGTAAGGCACGTAGCAACATCAGCACGGCAAAGGGCACTCCTTTAAAGGCAAGGAAGGTGGCAAAAACATTTTAAGTCAAGTGATAGCGATTGCTGTATGAGTCGTACGATTTTTGAATCAAGCATGGGCAACGCCGGGTCATCCTGCTAGTTACTAATAATGATACCAGGCGTTGTCCGGGTCAAGTCATTTTTTTCTCTGCTGCGTAACGCAGGCGCTTTAATTTCTGACCGATTGCGCATGCAAAATGGTGTTACTGAAACTATCGTGATTAAATCAGCTCAACAACGTTAACTTGTCGTTTATTTCATATACAACTTGTTTTAATGATATTCTCCTACAATTTCTCGAACGAAACATTATATTGAATGTTTAGGTTCGGTAATCATAATGTTTTCCAGTTTCGTTCCAAATGACTTAGTGCAATTATCGGTCGCAGCTCCTACTAAGGTTTGTAGTATCTCATTTTTAGAGACGATATCTCCTTGCCGTTGACAGCGATGTTCTTCTGCCAGCAAATGTAAAGTGTAATCGATGTCCGCAGCCTGTTTTGCTGTAGGTACCGCCATCTTTTACCACCAGCTCACATTTCAAAGGAGAGATTTTTGGATCGGGGTTTAATTACTTATTGCTTAGAATAACTAGTGTTCCCTAACATACACTCATCTAAATACTGACCAAGCACAAAACTGCTTAACTTCAGCGATCGAACGATAACTGGTGGTTTAACAGTGAAATGTAAAGCCCGGAATTTTAAAGAAGTTCTGGTTGCTATCTCTGAAGATCAAGTGACAACAGGTTTCTCCCATGTCACGTTATTTTACTTGGTATTTTATTGAATTGGTTTTTTACATTAATCTTGTTCTGTCGGGAGTAGTCTTCGCTTTTATTTTTCCTTCCTTATTTCAGCGAAGTCCTCTTTTTCAAACAGCTCTTCAAATAGGTTTAATACATAGTTGATTATGGCTTGCGCCGATACAGAGCTGATTGCCACCACCTGTGATAACGTGATTAATTGCCCCTCCTCACCTCAATGCATCCACCGTCTGGACCGGTCCTTCCGTGCGCGGCTTTGAAAGCAAAATACGAAATTTTTTTTTTCGTATTTTGCTTTGATAAAGTCCACATTGGACGAAACGCATCAGCAATTACCAGTCTTCCTATTGTCATTTTTATTCATAAATATTGTCTTCTCTACTGGTTAAATCAGAGAAATTTTCATATATATATATATATATATATATATATACCTTTGAGCGCCTTGATAAAATCCAAAGAAGAATCAGCAATATTATTGATACTAAGCTTGCGTCGAGATCTCGTCGATTTAACGTTGATCTGGCTAGATGTAACCATAAATTCTATGCTAACAGTTTATTTTCTCGCACTTCTCCCTTGTGTAAATCCCTTCCAACTCCATGCTTAACAGCCAACTTTAATATGCAAAAATATAAATGCAATGTCAATCATTATTTAATGTCCTCCTGATTACTTTTCCCCCTTCCCGGTCATTATTAATGTTTCTTTCTTTCTTTCTTTCTTTCTTTCTTTCTTTCTTTCTTTCTTTCTTCTAATTATTCATTCTTTTGAATTACCTTACTATTTTCTTTCTTTTTTCTTTCTCTCTTTCTTTTATATTTTTTTTTCAATTTTTTCTCTGTCATTCATTCATCTATTCATTCATTCTTTTGAATTAACTCGCAACTTTCTTTCTTTCTTTCTTTCTTTCTTTCTTTTTTCTTTCTTTCTTTGCATTGTTATCTATCTTCTTAGCCTTCTTCCACTTCCAGTCGACAATCTTCAATCTGTACGCCATTCCTGCCACAGCAAAGACTACAGACACTTGTTTCAGAAGTTCACCTCTAAAAGATTCAGCCTATGCATTCATTAACTTCACACTGTTCTGTTACTTTTTTTTTTGTTATTGCCATTTTCGGTGTTATTTGCATGCTACACATCTCCCATTTTTCTCTCCACTGATGTAGAACCTCTTTGCTATTCGAACAAATTCGTCAGTATTCTCCTGAAAAGAATTGTACAGAAACGCTCCTCTCCACAAAATAATCATTTTTATTTAACTTTTTATATTACTATCGTAGATCACAAATATCAACGTTCTTTAATTAAAAAAATAAGCCGAGATTCAATTAGCTATGTAAATGCATTATAAATTGATCCCTTCTTTTTCTTGTATGTGGTATGTGTCGTCTTCATTCAGGACGTTGACGATCGTAGCTCACCACAACGTCCTGTGCTTAGTAGCTCTCAGTAATTTTTGCCTTTTGACATCACTCCCAATACCTGCTCAGTTATCCATTCACTCAAGCTCAACTGGATATGTTATCCATTGTTTTCTCGTCCCTCTAGATTTCAGTTTGTCCTTTGAGTATCAAATTTTTCAAGGCCTCTTCTCATTATGTGCCAGAGACGTTTAATCTCTCTCTTACTGATGTTAAGTATAAGTGTCTTTTTAATTCCATTGTCTCTTGAACGTTCGTTATTTCTCATATGTTCGGTCAATGGTATTCTCAGCATGCTTCTCAATAATTCTAAGAATTTATGTCCTAATTTAGTGTGCAGTGATTTTAAAAAAAAATAATATTCGCTATATTACTTAAATCTTTTTTTCTCTTTAATAACGCTTTATGATAAAAGAATAATACGAAAGTTTAAAATGTATGTAGAAGTCTAATTCATATTGTAAAGTAAAATTTGGTTAAGTATAATTAATATGACAATATAAAGATTTTAAATCGGTTTAGTATTCTAATCCATATTAGAAACTCCATTTCGTAAAATACTGTAGTACTCTTTTACATTCCATGAATAATTGTCTCCGAGCACAGGAAGTTTTTGTCATAGAAACATAAACCTAACGACGCTATGTTACCGTTAAAATTCGAATTCTTTGATTCGACGGAATTTCATTGGTTGAATTTGTTCCTTCTTAGTTTATCTCACCTACCTCCCTCTACCTTTTTTTCAACTTGTATTTCATTTTCTTGGCCTTTTTCCTCTTATTTCTCTCTTCTCTCTTCTCTCTCTCTCTCTCTCTCTCTCTCTCTCTCTCTCTCTCTCTCGCTCTCTCGCTGTTACTAATCACTTAGCGGCCTTTCTTTCTCCACATGTAAATATTTTTTTTTACCTTTTATGGGAAACTTTTCAATGACGGAAGTGGATGATATACTTCGTTAACTGTATTTCGGAATAAAATATTTTAGTGGCACCAAATATTTTAGTAGCTACTGAAACGTAAACATTTTTTTTAACGTTGAAACAAGATGTAACAATTGGACAGTTTAGCTGTTACACGATTTAGACAATTTTACATTTATACCCAGTATATATACAAGAGCGGGACTGAATTGTAACCGAGTGAGGTTGTCGGTTCCTTATTCGTCGAAATTGACGTTAGAGTCCGTATACATATATATATATATATATTAAAAAGGCTTAAACACTAATATTCCATGGTCATAATTTATTCCATTAGAATCGTAAATACGATCCAAATCATCAGACCTACAAATTCAAAATGAAAACAGAAAAAACAACTCCGGAAATCAAAACAGAATTTAGAGAAAGTGTAAGTGGAGAGAGATGAAACCTTAACAGAGAGATTTTAGGAGATGGGGGGGGAATTAAAAAGAGGAGAGAAAGAAAGTCGACGGATGTCTAATGCATAAAGATACATTTCGTGGTGACATACACACACCATAGACAATTAGAAGTTAGGATAGGAGGTAGGGGGGGAAGAAAGAGAAGAGGTGGGGGAGAGAGATGGGACGAAGGAAAATAAAATTGTGTTTACTTAAAGGGCCGCTTTGTAATTGAGAAAATTTGACAAATTAATATCGACTACAGGTAAGAAATCAAATATAAATATATGTATATACAGACTGTGTGTGTGTGTGTGTCGGGGTGTGTGTGTGAGTGATGTGTGTGTGTGTCGGCGTGTGTGTGTCGGCGTGTGTGTGTCGTTATGTGTGCGTATTGGGGTGTGTGTGCACCGGGGGTGTCGGTGTGTGTGTATTTCAAGTGTGTGTGTGTGTTTGTGTATCTACACGCGCGCGTGTGTGTATGTGTGTATATTCTCACAGTACAGTGGGGAAAAACTGGCCTGCAATTTTCCAATGTCATTGAAATCATTTCCCAATCATTGGCTTAACCCTGATAATTCCCCAGTCTCTCCGAACAGTTCCATTCTCAATGAGGCCAATTGATTGGAGCGTCAATTGCGACAGAAATCCACTCTAGACCTCAAGTGGAACTCATATGTGCGACCCATTGCTGAAAATCCTGTCAGAATTGGTCGGCTTATTGTACAGAACATGCATGTTTTACCTTTAGTACACCAAGATTAGACCAACAATGTTTGTATTGAAACCATATCCGAATTGGAGCTGTCCAACTATCATTCCCCAATCAATGTCTAGAGACGGTCTTGGGTGTAGAAGAATGCTTCATTTTTCATTCTGTAGCCTCTTTCCCCAAACCTGTCACAACTCGAACGACCTCCATGCAGTTAAAAACATCCATGCTACTTCTACGGTCAAACCAATGTTTTTCTTCTTTCTGCATACCAATTATAGGGACGAAATTTCACTCAGGCAGCAAAGATGAACTGAAGATGAACTAACTTAAATAAGGGGACATTCCAGACAAGTTGTAGGAGATTCAGAAGTCGTCTGGAGCTCCTGGCAATTCTATTGAATATATTTACTCTTTAGAATTTCAGTCGCTGTTTGTAGAACGTGAAGTTTTCCTAGATGGCTACAATCTTAACCGCTTCATGTCTTCATACTCTTTAGTTCTCCCTTTTTTTTTTTTAAATTCATTCCCTCAACTTTAAGCGGCTGTTGAGACTTGTATTGGATGAACATTAGTAAAAGAAAAACAAAAATAAAATAACAACTATCAAACCACACATCGTCCTATACGTATATACAAATATATAGTTTGTTTTAAGCCCTTCAATCTTCTCTAATTAAAGCCACGTTTGACTGACTGACTTTCCTGAGAATAATATTTAATCACGTACAATTAGAATTTAGACAAAAGAGAAGAAGATGGTCGGGTATAATTCCTTCAATTTGGCTTTTAATGCAGGAAAAAAGTGATGTAATCTCGACCAATTTACGTAATCATAATATCAGATATTTTGAAGAAGGCACGTGTTTCCCTTTAAGTGCTTTAATCAGATGTCTGGCCCGGGAAGATCTGATGTGCCTTTAAGGGAGCTTCTCCATTCAATCCTCCAGGAATATAATTTATTTATTGTTATATTTTTTTAGTTTTCTTTCTTTCTTTTTCTTTCTTTCTTACGCCTTTTTTCAGCGGGTAAAGAGAGAGAAATAGAGAAGAAGACAGATAAGACGAATGCAGAAAAGAAACGCCGGAACATGAAGCACAGCCTCAAATCTCTCTCTCTCTCTCTCATCTATCTATCTATCTATCTATCTATCTATCTATCTATCTATCTATCTATCTATCTATCGTTACAGGATGAGATGGATAAATTGTCGTCTAAATTACGCAAACATGAAAAGTAATACTGACATCTCATATATTTACCAAAATTACACAAAAATACTTTGAAATACTAAAGAGTAAATATATTCGGTGAAATCGACATTGCCTTCAACCAGTAACTCCAGAGGACTTCGGAATCTCCTGCAACTCTTCTGGACTGTCCCCTTGTTTAAGTTGGTTCATCCTCAGTTCATCGGTGGTGTTACAAGGAGTTTTGTTGGTCTCTCACTCAACTGCGCCCCACACATAATAATCAAGGGGGTTGCAGTCCGGGAAGTTAGGTAATCAGATTTAAGGGTGCTGTGGTCGCAGAAATTGTCTGACAGACATGACTGGGTTCCCCCTGCTTCTTTAATATGCTGCAGAGTCCTGCTCCAGCTGCCACATTCTTGAACCAGGGCAGCACTACCTCCTCAAGGCATTTGATGTAGGCTGTTTTGAGTCTGATACCTCACCAACAATTTCGTGAGTTCTCCGTGAGATGCTGTACCTTTGTAATCACCATCAGATTCATCCAACTCTTTCCAAATCCTCTGCACTGTCCTCAGATTGACACCGAAACACTCTGAAATGTTTGTATTAGAGCATCCGGCGCGAATTTCAAGCAGTACAGCACGCCGTTTCCAAATCTCTGTCGTAGTGAATTGAATTGCGTCATGGTGCTCCTTTTCTCACAGATGTTGCCCAACTGATCCTACTATACTGTACAGTCGACAAAATCAAAGTAAAGCGCATGCGCGAAATTATATATATATATATATATATGAAGAAATATACTTTTAAGGTGTGCTATATTTATGGGATAAAGTGCTCAGTAGCGGAGATAGAGCATGTGTAAATATAAATATAAAAGTGATCAACAATTTGAACAAGGTCAGCCCGCTCAATCCCTCGGCCACGATGACTTGTAGCCTCTTGCTAACACGGCTAGCGGCGACCCCCATTTTCACACACAAGGATTGGGTCAACCCAGGGTAAGCTTTTCTGGCATTTTACAAAAAGTGTCGCACGCTGGGATCGACCTCGATCTAGCCCGATAACATCACGAAGTTTCGTTCCTGTCAAATCGACCATGGTGAGATTCGAACCCGGATCTCATGGTCAGAAATCGAACGTTCGAAACGATAATAACATATATATATATATGTGTGTATGTGTGTGTGTGTGTGTGTGTGTGTATCTATCTGTCTCTCTCTCTCTATATATATATATATATATATATATATAATATATATAAAAATATATATATATATATATATATGAAAGAAAATATATGGAAAAAACAAAATCAATTATATACAATTATGCTGTTTTAATGTTAATATGTCAACGTCGGACATTAACATTAAACAGCATAATTGTATATAAGGATTTTTGTTTGTTTTTTCCGTATATTTTCTTCATACTGTCGGATCTATATTTGCATATATTTATATAGCATATATATATATATATATATATATATATTGAATTATATTGCAATGTTATTTATTTTAAACAGTGTGTATGATGTCTACCCTCCTGGAAGTTTGAGAAAACTTTAAAAAATATGTTCTCCGGCCATGTTAGATGTCTATTAGATTACCAACGCGTAAGCGGACCAGTACTACTTCGTTCTTTGGAGATTTTCTGAAAGCCGACTTTCATTCTCCAATTTTGGGCTGAATTGCGAAGAGTTTATTGTCTTGGTTATCCTCCCTGTACTGTTGACATTCCTTTTTTAATATACTTGATAATGAACTCCTTAAAGTTGGTGTATGGTCCTTTTGTCTACATCCATATATGAAGATCATTCTGTTTTTTTCTTCCATTTCTTCCAGTTTCTCAAATCAGTTTTGTGAAGGGCGTTTGGTTACTTTGAGTTACTGATTTTTGTTTGACTTGTGTAGTAAAAACAGAACCAGTGAATAAACTTATACCAAAGCTTTATTGTACTTTACTCTGACGACTTGTCTACTGATGGATATAACAGGGTGATTTTTATACCTCTTAGATTTAAAGGGGAGATAACTGATGATATATCAGTACAACTTTTTCGGTTTTTCTTTTTAGATAAATGTCTTTAAAGTTTTTGGAGGACGGAGAGGAGATCGCTGTGACCTTGTTTGTTTTTTTTTTTTAAGAAGATTTCGTATTTTTGGAGGAGTGTTATGTGTTTGAGCTGCAGATTTTTTACTTGTTTTTTTTCTTAATTTGTTATTTCAATTGTTTCATTGATTTCTTTTGTGGTTCAGTTTCTCCTATTCCCTTACAGCAAATGGCTTGTAGTTTTGAAATTTGGGCCGGTCATTTGGTCTTAACTGTATGAGCTTCTCAATGAGGGTTCTGTATTTGTAATGTTGACTGGTTTCTGTTGTAGTCACTTTTTGCATTATTTTTGCTTAGGAAGATCCTTTCATGTAGCTTTCTACTATCTGGCTTGCTTCTTCGAATGGCATTTCGTTTGTGTTTCACCTCGATTATCTCTTCTTCCCTTTTCCAGAAGTTGCACGATCCCGAGTCTACTGAACGGTCTTCCTGGAAGTTACCGCATCTTACTTTATAATGGCATTCTTCTCCGTGTAGTGCGAATCCCTTGGCCACATTTTCCACATGTTGGACGATGCCTGCAGCTATCCCTGTTATATCCAATTTTTTGGAACTTGAAACACATTAGTGAAGCAGGGATATATTTTTCCACTGGCTCAATAATGTGCCCAATTTTATTTTGTCATAGATTTGAGGTGTGGCAAAGGTAAGGTAAGGTAAGTGTCTGTTGTTTTGGTGTCTCCGTTTGTTTTTATTGTGATTCTACGATAATAATTGACTCCCTGGCTTCCTAAGGCAAATGTGATTTCCTCAGGTGTGGCCAAAGACAACTCTCTTCTTCTAATGGCTCCCTTGTTCAGTCTTTCATAGGGAATTTTTTTTATTTTCAGGTCATGAAATGTCTTCATCTTGATTATACATCCAACTTGTCTTTTAGATTTTACTTCTACTAGCAAATTGCCATTTCTCAATTTTTTTTACTTTTTTTTGAGGTTAATCTTACTGGATAGGACATTTTCAATTAAGAAAGGGGAAAGTTTTGCTAGAAGAATTTCATCAAGGGATGTGAGCACGAGAAATTTTGGGAAGCCTATAGTCATTTCTTTTTTGGAATCAGTCTGAAAATTATCTTTTGTTTGTGTTTTTTTTTTTTTTTTTTTTTTTTAGGGATTCATAAATTTATGTAGTAAAATTCACTGCCTATGCTCCCCACATAGCCCGGATTCCAACAATGAGCCGTGTCAATGAGGTGGAGAAACCCTGCCGCCTTGACAGTTAAGGGCTACACAAACCAGTATACTTGTATTCGGGAGAGGCTCTGAGCACTGGCTGAACCATTTGTTGCACTTCCAAAATCCTAAGTGGACACCCTGGCGGCTTCACGGTCATGTCGAAATCAAGATCTCTTCAAAGCTGATCCGACTGACCATCGCCTTCTAACGTCTATAAATTGGATTGAGAATGTATTTTATCCCGGTGTATGTTTGGGGTATTGTATTTTGGTGTAAAACTCCATAAATTGATATAGTAATAGTCGGTAGATCTTGACATGATCACACGATTGATCGGATCAGGCCTCTCCGACTGTCCGTCTAGTCCAAGTAAGGGTCAAAGTGATGTGTTGTGAATCAGAAGTATCTATCTTTGACTCTTGAAACCCTCACCTACTTGTATCCCGTCACCAGACATTACACGCCGTTACCCACGGCAAATAAGTGGCCTCATTGGAGAGGGGTCTTACCCCTCTACAGAGGCGCAGTCGACGAATTTTGAACCCTCAATCGAGAGGGTAGACAATAATATGACGCAGTAAACTACAACTACTGCTACTACTACTAATAATAATAATGATGATAAAATATATGAATAACAATGGTATTTCCCGTATTTTCCATAGACTACTCTTCATGCCGTGATTCCGATAAAATTGCTTTTTTCTCACTTATTTTCCTGTACTTCTTCCGTTTGCATCTTCTGATACAAAAAATTGATTGTCTCTTGAATTCTCTGAAAAAACAATAATAATAACAATGATACACAAAAATTAATGAGGGATGAAACAATAATACTGAAAAACTTAATCTAGATTATTAATAATTGATCTACTTTTTTAAGGCATACGAGAATTTTTTTTTTAGATATTAAGGATACAATTCCTATAAGTCCTACTAATTAACTCATACCCGTGGAGAGTAGCTTCATACCTTTCCCACTGTTGCGCGTAAGTGAATATATCGAACTCAACTGGATTTGGAACTCGGCATGCTGAGATCTACTTCTGAGGCGTTATCCATTACACCACCCGCTCATCCAAGCTTACAACATCTGGTGTGCCCTATCGGTTAACCCTCTATGTATCGACCGGCTCGATAATGTTTAACTTCAGTGGTTGTTCGAGAATTGATGTTTCAACATGATCGGGGCTGTAAGCCTAAATTAAAATACAATAATAATATTGAGTAAAACATGTAAAAAATAATTTGTGTGGAAATGCTTAATGTAAAAAGAAACACTAAAAAATTGAAATAAAAACTGTAATTAAATAAATATTAGTGGAATTACCTAATGTAACTAGCAACACTAATGAAATAAGAATATAAATTCTAATAAAATAATATTAGTGAAAATGCCACATCAACAAAGCAACACTAATAGGATTGAAATAAAATCTGTAAGAAAATAATATGAGTGGGAATGTCTCTTTTTACAATGAGCACTAATAAGATTAAAATAAAAACTGAAATAAAATAATATTAGTGGAAAAGCCTCATTTAAATAGCACACTAATAAAATTGGAATAAAAACTGTGATAAAATAAATATTAGTGGAATTACCTAATCTAAATAGGAACACTAATGAAATAAGACTATAAACTGTAATAAAAAATATTAGTGGAAATGTCTCACTTAATAATCAGTACTAATAAGATTCCCTTATGTGTTAATACTTTTGGGAAAATGTATGAATCCTCTTCTTCTGACCCCAGCTATGGGTAAATAGCAGGACAGACCGGGTTCTATAGCCTTGAATGTCAACTGGTCTACCGCAGAGAAAAATGTCAACTAGTCTACCGCAGAAAGAAATGGCAACCTACTGCGGGAAAAATCAGTCATGTATCGAAAGATACATGACCGCGTAAGAGTGTAACACGCATGGCACATAACTGACTGATTAACTAATAAGAATGGAATAAAACCTAATAGCATAATAGTTGTGGAAATGCCTCATCCATAATGTAACACTAAAAAGACTGGAATAAAACTAGTAATAAAAAATAAAAAAACCAACAATAATTCAGTAACGATATAGCGATACCGTGATTCGGAGAAAACAATAATTTTCTCTTTTTCGATTGCCCGTGTATGAACAGGTTTAAAAAAAAAAAAATTAACTTGCTGAATAAAGAACGTTTCATTTCTTCAGCTATTATCATTTTCGGGATTTCATTGAGAAGCTCAAAGCGAAAACAAAGTTGCTACTGCTGAAAAATGACGCTGGTCGATTGTAGTGTATTATCAAAAGAAGACGAAATGTGAAGGAAAATGCGATGGAAAAGATCAGAAAGAAGAATGAAAAGAAAAGAAAACAAAAAACAAAAAAACAAAAATGGGATTTCAGCGATGAACTTAAAAGGATGAATAGAAGTGTGGGTTGGAGACAAACCGAAGAGAAAATAAAAAAAAAAATAAAATAAAACAAGAAAAAACTGGATAAAACAGAAAGAAGCTTAGAGCTGAGGGAGACGTTAAAATGAAAGGAGACGAGCAAACAGAATAAACATTTTCGTGATATTTGATTGGTCCAACTAGTGCACTGATTAACCCTGCAACGTGCCACTTAACCGTGATCGGCCATCTTGAAATATCGACCATACCTGACGTTGATTAATGTATCGATCGAAAAAGTGGAAATTTTGCGAGGAAACAGACAGTTATATTGGCGAATAAAAGTGAGGCCATGGCCAGAAGCATATAACATTAAACATCCAAGTCAGAAACGATTAAGATCTATCTATTTATCTAACTCATTCTGTTCATTTTCTTTCTTTCTTTCTTTCTTTCTATCTATCTATCTATCTATCTATCTATCTATCTATCTATCTATCTATCTATCAACAGCAGCACCACTTAATCTAAGGACATGATTGTGCTAGGTTTAAAAAATATTTCTTTTATATTATTTAAAGATTTTACTATAATCTAGTTACAAAAAATGCAACGTGTATTCAAAAATATTGATGTCTAACACTATACATGAAACGCATAGATTTTATGCAAAACACAGATAAGCGATGAAAGCCGACTACGTATATAATACGACGCAAGAACATTTTATTGTGAACTACTCATGCGTACAAGAAATAAAAGTTCCAAAATAGGCCAATCCGCTTGGAACTGACCCCACCTATGGAGGACAACGCCTTTGCCTGGCGATACCATACTGTTGCTAGTAGTTATTTTTTGCCCCAGGTTCAAAAGACCGCGAAGCGACCATTTCATCCAAGAGAGACGCTTATCGTAAGCAGAGGACTGGAAAGCGACACTAATTCAAAGCTGATTGCACAGATTCTAATCTGATCCTAAGCAGAGGGACATGAAGCGACAGTTTTTTTTCTCAGGTATAATGCACATTACTACTCTGATTCGATGCACAGGACCGAGAAGCGACACTTTGATCCAAATCGGAGTACAAAGGGACAACAAGACAGAGGGCTGTGTAATGAAAACTTTGGCAAATATGGATGTTCCTTCCCGCAAAAAGACGGAGTATCAAGACGACGGTTTCTCTCATGACACCGCATTTTTTTAACTACCTTCGCACTTGTTTTAAAAAGTGATATGGTCTATGTTAATTATGTTTTATGAATATGTCCTGAAGATGGTCTATTAGACCGAAACGTCCGACGTTGACATTATATTAACATTAAAACATCATAATTGCATATTAGGATTTTTGTTTGTTTTTTCCGTATATTTTTCTTGATACTGTCGGATCTATATCCATATATTTGCTTACATATGTATGTATGTATAGCTGGCAATTCTGTCTACTAAGGCGGTTAGCCAATCCCTATTGCAGACGCTTTCTCAGCCACATGTGTCTTTATTCAGCACCCAGAGAGCCCACCTGAGTTTTATACTGCTACTATACTGAGCAGACAGTCACAGTTTCTATAAAAGAGCGTGCTATCTAGCGTGATCAACAATTTGAAGAAGGCCAGCACGCTCAAGATTTCGGCACAGCGATCGACGCTCCCCAAGGGTTCCGTCTACCTAATTTCAATCGCAGAACTTGGGTCAACCCATGGTATGGTTGTCAGACACTTTCCAAAGATACCGCACTCTGGGATCGACCCGTCCAGTCCGATAACATCAGTAAGTCTCCTTCCTGACAAATCGACCCTGGTGAGATTCGAACACGGGTCTCATGATCAGAATCGGCCATTGTAAAGTTATAAATAATAGGATTTCCATGTAGTTGGTTCATATATTTTAATAATTTATTAAATGTTTATAAATTTATGAATAAAAAATTCTGTTCATATTTATTTCTTTATAAATTGGTAAATGATATATTTTGAATTGCATTAGTTCTAAGTGTACAAGATTTTACAATGTTGTAAATATAAAATTATTCTTGGAAATAAACTAACTAATCAATAGTCTTTAATGTCTTTGTTGTAAATTCTCAAGAACGAAATATGTATAAATACTTTTCATATGTTTAGGCTTTATTACAATTCTTATCATCGTATTTTAAAAATGGAGGTAATTAAAATAAAAACTGTGCCATAAGAAAAACTGTCCTTTTGACATTCCGGTTTTTTTTCCGGGCACGAAGGGTCATATTTGCGTAAACTTAGAACTCATTTAGAATGAGCATATACTATATGTATTCTAGGCAAAGGACCGTGAGTGGCAATGAGAAGGCACAGGTACTACGCTGATCCTAGGTAGATTTTCAGGTAGGGGCACCTTCATTAATGCTGAATTCACAGATACTATACTAATCCTAGGCAGGTTACCGTGAAGCACCAGATTGAACCTGTTAAAAATGCACAGCTATTGCACTGTTCAGAGCAGAGGGATCTGAAGTAACAATTTGATTAGATGCAGAATGCACAGTTACTACATATTTCCGAAGCAAAGTGACAGGAAATGACACTTTCATTCCAGACAGAGGGCACAGATATATTTATCTACGACAGAAAGGAGGTACGGTGGAGTAATGGAGTTTAATACCCCTGGGAAAGTTATGAATCATCTTCTTTTTCCCCCCCGGCTATGGGTAAATAGCCGGACAGTTGGATGGCAACCTACTGCAGAAAGAAATGGCAATCTACTGCAGGAAAAAATATGCCACATCAGTGATGTATCGAAAGATAAATGATCGCCTAAGCGTGTATCAAGCATGGCACATAACTGACTGACAGCAGAAAGACGTGTAGTAACAATTTGATCCAATGAGGCATGCACCATTACTACTCTCTTTGGTGGCAGAAAAACATGACGCTACGATATTTACACAAGTATTACACTTATACTAAGCAGAGGGAATTTACGTGAGATTTTGAGCCCAATAGGAATGCACAAGTAATGCATTGGCCTGAGGCAGAATGTTGGGAAGCGACAGTTTTTATTCAAAGTGAATTGAGAATAAGATTGAAATCACGAATCAAAATTTAACATCTCTGAATCTTAGGTTTGGAAAAAGTACTCACTACCAAACGAAAATCTAGTATCATGATAAGGGGCTTGAGAAAGGGTGTCAGTACATTATATCAAATAGAAGTAATTAAGACATGTCAAATAGAAACGTTGAATGAAGGATTGCTACTAAGAATTAGTAGCATTACTTCATTCAACGTTTCAAAGTCATATGGTCGATGCTATGATCTTCCAAAGAACAGCGGTTCTAGTCTAGATTAAGGACACGCACATCGAGGTTCCCGGAGTCATAAGTTAAAATGTAAAGACGACAAATCGAGACTAGAAATGCTCGCTATACAAATATGGTAGAAAGTTTTAAAAACACCCATTTGAGCCAATATGGACCTAATATAAAGCCTGTAGATGCGATACTGTATTAAAGTAATTAGGTTTGCCTGCACGGTGTTAAATAAATTCAATCAGTTATGTGCCATGCGTGATACACGCTTAGGCGATCATGTATCGAAAGATACATGACTGCCCAGGGAGATTTTTTTCCGCAATAGGTTACCATTTCTTTCTGCGGTAGACCCAGTTACCATCCAAGGCTATAGAACCCGGTATGTCCTGCTATTTACCCATAGCTAGGGGAGAAGAGGATTCATACCTTTACCAAGGGTATTAGCACGTAAGGGAAAGTAATGGATACGACTGGAATTCGAACTCGGCTCTCTGATTCCTTAATCTGAGCCGCTATCCATTACTCTACCATGGCTTCTAAATTATAAACTAGTTTGTAGTAAACGGCTTTAATGATAACAGTATCCTATAAAACTTATATAAAATAGTGCAAAGAATATTATAGCTAATTTAAACAATTTTATGGGACTGAATCCGAATATCATAGTCGTTTTTTTTTCTCAGTTAACTGTAGTTTTCATGATTCGGAAAACAGGAAAATTGCTTATTTTAAGTCATTTGTCTGAAAGGTGAAAAATGAGCAGCTGTAAAAATAGAAATCCAATAAGGTTTCAACTATGAGGCAAGAAGAAAAGCGCATCAAGATACAAATATTTTAGATTAAATATGAAGTTCAAAATTAAAATAACAACAATGGTAGTAAGAACAATGGCTTTTGTCGATTTTCGCGAATGACGCACAGTTGTCTTTTTAGGCTCCGACAATAATCTGTCATCCTTCTTTTATCCAATGCCCCTTGAAGCCTGGCCATGACTTTTATATTCCGATAAAAACTTTTTCTTTGTTCATCACTTATAACGGTATAGTTTCCTGGAAACCTGATAAAAATAACGATAAACTGCATCCGGCAGCAAGACCTTTGATGGGGAGATTGGAGGTTTCGTTGAACATGGAACCAGCTCTTAATTGATGTTGTTTCCAGGTCCCTCATGACCCAGGGTGGTAGCACCTGTTGGGGTCTCAGCTATGGACAAAATAGTTCACCCCTAAACGAAACAAAACACAGTGAATGTAGAAAAATACATTTTAATTATTAAAATTACTAGCAATACGTATTTATAGTAAAATTACCAGAAATACGTGTTTATCGTAAAATCACCAATACATATTTATAGTAAAATTACCAACAATACATATTTATAGTAAAATTACCCGCAATAAATATTTATAGTAAATTATCAAAATAATTATTCATAGTAACATTACCAACAGCACATTTTATGTGTAACTGAAGGCATGAAGTTACGTTCAGATTATTTCAATTTCGTCATTAAAGAACTCATAGAGATGTTGATATGCCGCTAAACAAAATCAACTAAACTAACATCCTGTCGAGAAGTTCCATATAATACGTCTGTATTGCGATTACTAAGAACAAATGAAATCTCGAGATTTGATTCAGTAACATCCATAGTTGATGAAGTTGCTAAGTTTGATGAGTTTTTGAACGTCAGCTCCATCAAAAATACCCTGTTTCAGTTTTCTATGCTGGGATCAGGAAATTCCCTGGAAATATACGGAAAAAATTGGCCTTCCTTGTCAACCACTTTCACAAACTGCTTCCTGATTCCTAATTTGATATGGAGATGCGGTAAGATGATTTTGTCTCTGGGAATTAGCGGATCAGTTGTTGCATTGTCTCTCCGACATTTATTTCTACTCTGAACGGCCATTCTCTTCAATCCCAGTGACGCTTCTGTCCAATAAAAAAGAAACTTCGGAGCTTTCTGCAGCCTGATGATGAGTTCAGAAGATATACAAAAATAGAAAGGGGTGTAAGACAAAGACGTGTCTTCTCACCAGGCTTATTCAAGCTATACAGTGAGGAGATTCTGAAAGAACTAGAAGTCCTAATAGGATTCATTATAAGGCGGCCACTGTCATAACAACATAAGATACGCAGATGACACTGTGTTGACAGCAGACACGGAAAGTAAACTACGAAATCTCTTACTGTTTGTAGTGAAGGAGCACGAGAAGAAAGGATTAAACATTAATTTCAAGAAAACAGAAT